TGAAAGAGGTCCACGAATCGCGCGCTTCCTCTTTCATAACCAACGGCTCAGATCTGGTCTTGGCTTCCCTGAAGTCGCGCCCGTCCCATTGTCATTTCACCATCTCCATATAAATCTCCCCTCTTCTCCGCCGTCGGTTTCATTTTACATTCACTTCTTTCTCCCTTCATCTCTGCGACCTTCTGTTATCTGATTCTTCCATCGCTCTCAACAATGTCGCCCGCAGAGAAGGAGAGAGAGACTTACGTTTACATGGCCAAGCTTTCCGAGCAAGCTGAACGATACGAAGGTTTTATTCTCTATCTCGCTCTTCATTAATTACAGTTTTATTTACAAATGAAGAGAGGCGATGAAACCTTGAGGCGTTTTAAGCTCATTTCCTACCATTTGTAATTTAGTTTGGTGATTTACTTGTTTGTATTGTAAGTATGTGAAGTCCTATATGTATCAAAGAATATGCATTTTTGTTTACATTTTTGTTCAAATCTGCATTTGAATAGATATAGGATGTTTTTTTTTTTGGTTTTCCGCCCGGTAGCGGGGCTTCGCACCGACTAATCCGGACCTGACTCGCATCACGCGCCTGGAAATGGTGGGTGAGTCTCCAAGTGGGGGCTGCTGTGTACACAAGGTCTCGAACTGGATACCTTGCTTAAGCTGGAACAAGCGCTTACCACTTGATCCAACCCGGTAAATAGATATAGGATGTTGATCGGCTTGTTTTTACAGTTCATGAGTTGTCATTTTCTAAAGTTTAGAAAGTAATAATGGTCTCTCCCTGAGTTTGCTTATGGATTTAGGAATTGGTAATTTTAGTGGATATTCATTTTCTAAATAGGATGATGGGCTTATGCTACTACACATAAAATTGCATGTTCACACACCTTGCCAATTGAATGGTGACACAGAAATGGTTGAGTGCATGAAAAAGGTTGCAAAACTTGATTGTGAGCTGACTGTGGAGGAGAGAAACCTCCTCTCTGTTGGGTACAAAAATGTAATTGGCGCTAGACGTGCTTCCTGGCGCATCATGTCTTCAATTGAGCAGAAGGAAGAGTCCAAGGGAAATGAGCAGAATGTCAAACTCATAAAGGGTTATCGCCAGAAGGTGGAAGAGGAGCTCTCCAAAATTTGCAGTGACATTTTGGATATCATAGACAAGCATCTCATCCCCTACTCTGCCTCTGGAGAAGCAACAGTCTTCTACTACAAGATGTGAGTCAGGTTTCCCTATACTATATTTTGAAATACTTGGTCCAAGTTTTAGCATAACAAAAAATCAAATATTGCAGCTGCTAATCTCATCACTGACTTTATAGTCAGTCATTATGTTTCAAAATGGTATGTTTATTTATCATGTAGTGCCTTCTGTATTTCACGTGTCACATTGAATTTGTACAAGAGGATATCCATATGGAGGGTAGTTATCTTTTGATATGATGATAAATAACTTTTCTATTTTTCCTAAAAAAATGGAAAAGAAAAAAGAAGCTACTTTAATATTTTCGTTGCCTCTCTACTTGTGATGGACATTTAATTATAACAGTTTGATATGATTGACTCAATTTATCTCCCATGTCCCATGTTATTTACACAAATTTATATTTGTACATGCATATATTTGTTTTTGTTCTTATGAATTGATAGGAAATTTACATGGTGTATACTTAATTCAGGAAAGGTGATTATTATCGGTATCTGGCTGAGTTCAAGACTGACCAGGAAAGGAAAGAGACAGCTGAGCAGTCATTGAAGGCCTATGAGGTATGCTGTGGCACTTGCGGAATTGTATTCTTGTAGCATTATTTACTTGTGCATTCCCTTGACCATTCATTGCCATTTTCTTCCTTTCAGGCTGCTTCTGCCACTGCAAGCACAGAACTCCCCTCAACCCACCCCATTCGCCTTGGCCTTGCCCTTAACTTTTCCGTATTCTATTATGAGATAATGAATTCTCCTGAGAGGTATAAATTCACTATCCTCCTTTTATAATCCACTTTAGACTCTTAAATAGTTTACTTATTTCCATTGCTGGACCTTTTTATGATATACTCTCAGGGCTTGCCATTTGGCAAAACAAGCTTTTGATGAGGCAATTGCAGAGTTGGACACCTTGAGTGAGGAGTCATACAAGGATAGTACCCTAATTATGCAGCTCTTGAGAGACAATCTTACTCTGTGGACTTCTGATTTGCCTGAAGATGGAGGTATGGTATAGGTTTTTTTTTTTGATAATTATGGTATAGTTTGAAATGAATAACAATGTTGTATTGGCAGTGTCTGATAACCCAGTTGCATGTGTTGTGTAAATTTGTGGAAAATGTAGCAGTCATTTGGGTTGAACCATTTTACTGGTCATATTTTCTTCCATTCTGTTACTTATTAAGAAAAAGAGTATTATATTCCTCTATATTTTATTGATGAGATAGTAACACATTTTTGGTCAATGTCTATCTTTTTCATATCTAGAAATGTTCTTCTTGCTGCATTGTTACTCATAAAGTTCTTGAGCATTTGCAGGTGAAGAAAATGCCAAAGGTGAAGATTCCAAACCTGCTACTGCTGGAGCTGAGGTATCTGATTGCAGGGTTTCCTTGTTAAAGTAACCAAGTTCTTCTGCCTTCCTCATTATCTAAATGTGTAATTGTTTTTACAGGATTAATGGAGAATCTGGGGACTGCGTACATGGCAATTCAACGTTAGAGTGTATTTCAGAGACTTGACTCTTTCCAGCTTTTCTTACAAGCGGATTGGATCAAACAATGTAGCTTTTTCTTTTACAATGTTGTTCATCTATTAACCTTATCATTGTAGCCTCTTCTTGCTTTTACTTTTATGTTCTTTCATGTAATCTGCATATTCAAATGGTTGGAAATATATATTTTCTGCTTCATATTGCATTCCTTTTTGCTTGGATATCTTGTTATGGTCATTCAGATTTAAAGCCACCCTTTAAGCTAGCTCCCCTTTCCTATCTATGCCACCAAACTCAATCCTTTTCAATCAAAAGAATTTAGTAGGGCTAACAACTGGCTTCAATTCAAATAATTTTTCCTGTTCTTTCTTCTGTTTCTTTCATTGGTGTGGCATCAAATTGATATCCTCCTGGCTCCTATATAACATGGCCGATGGCACAGCGCTTGGGGAAAAGGGGAAGGCATATGACCAACCACTCAACATGATCAAGGACAATATGAAAGGCACTTGGCCTCCTGGCTGGGGGGCAAACTGTTCTCTTCCACCAGCCAAGTGCTGGTTGGATTTTAATCTTGCCCACACATTTCTAACCTATGCCCAGCAGAGAATTTGCAGAACTAAAAGACATGATGACAGGGTTATCAAAGAAACTATAATTTAGTAGGAAAATTCTGAAAAAGGGGATTTAAGTAAAACAAAAGGAGAATTGAAACTAGAAAGTGGTTTTTCTCTGTTCACTTCTGCAGTGGATTGCACCCAATATACATGAGGGTTTCATTGAACTTTTCCATATATATTGGGAGTATTCTTGTTCTTTGAATAAGTGGACTGCTTTCTCTTGTCTTTCTTGTTTGCCAACTTACCTACGTTTTAGGGTGAACTGCATAACCTTGTTATTCTCATGGAGAATACTAATAAGGTGCATTTCTTTACTCTCTTGTGGAGAATGTTATTGCGATGCATTTGGTTGTTGATGTCGTTTTCTTTGAAGTTTGTCAGCACTATGAATTTAACTTTGAGGCTGAGTAGTAGTGGGGCTGCCCATAAAACAAGACTTACTAGGTGCCGGCAACATTATTCAAGTTAGACCTAAAACAAGACTTACTAAAGGTGCCAGTGACATTATTTAGGTTAGACCTTCTAGGATAACTCAAACTACACACAAATGAACAAAATGCGGCAAAAATTCTCCTTGTGGCATTATATCACCACTAAAGTGGTCCCGATGATTGAAACTTTTTTTTTTTTTGGTAGTGCCGATGATTGAAACTTGGTTATCAAGCGTATTGGCAAAATTCAAATCAAAATTGTTTATTTATCAGGAAATAATGGGAAGGATGTATAGCTACTTATAGGAGAAGCAGGTGACAACATTTCATCGATATGATATGATCAAATTTCTGAACATCCTACAGCATGAGAGGTCCTCCCTCAAATTTGCATCTAAATTTCTACAACATTCTGTGAAACAAGGAACATGGTAACTGTTTCCCCTAAAATCCTATTTATGGTGGAAACAGTTACTAACAGAAACATCAGATAAACAGCCGAGCAAAAACGGAGGCTTGAGAATTGTAAGCCAAAATTACGACTCATGATTCTTCCTTGACAAAATAACTTTGTGGCAGGCTAAAATCTTCCTCATGTTTGAAGATTTCTGCTTCCTCATCATCTGATTTCTGAAAATCATAGGAAACAACAAAAATCAACAATTTCATTTTATATGCTCGCAGAAGCAACAGACAAAAAAATACTAATCCAATAGTAAAAGAATTGCATATTTGTGGCAGTAAGTGTTAGGAAAGAATTGGTATTGTATATCAGTTGTTCACGGCAAACATACATATTTATGGCATTAAACATTAGGAAAGAATCAATACTGTACATTAGTTCTTTGCACTCAGCATTTCATTTATTAATTTATTTTTTGCAATTAAACTAATTTTATTGGAAAGAAGCAAGTGCATCCCTCAGAAGTGTCTTCAATAAAACTAGACAGTTCATCATGGAAACCTTTAAGCTGTGAAAACTCTAACTGGTAAATAGTTTCAGGTCATCAAAATGCACAAGTATATTTCAGCATTTGGGAGGGTGCATATTTATATTACTAAATAGATAAACTCATCCTTTTTGTTCTCTAATTCCATTTTCCACCTCCCTTCTTTTTTTTTTTTGTGCTGTACACTATCACTTTCTTGTTATAGTTCCAGAGTCATCCCAGAAACTGAACCATCATTCAAGTTGCTAATTTACAGAATACCCATAGGTGCAACACAAGTGAAAAGAACATTTAAATTAATGAGTCAAACTTGGCATCTTCCAGTCACATATTTTAATCAATTTATAAATATTAAAATTGTTTTGAGGTTTATTTTTTTTATTTCTTAATTACCCAAAAACTGTCCCTTTCTTGCTCTCCCAATCCTTCCCACAATTCCCCCACCCCCACAAAAAAAACAGGTGAAGAAAAAAAAATTCTAATTAGCAAGTTAAACCAATTGATGACACTGTAAAATTTCTCCACATCTTAATATGATAAAGAAAAGCATAATTGAAATTCAAAAATTACCAGCATTTCCAAGTTGTAGAAACGATCTAGCAACTGTAAAACCTCATCTGGAGAAAAATGGCGATCCAAGCTGTTAAAAAATTTAGCACAAATAAGAGTATGTACTAAAAACATAAGGTTTATCAAAATATTAGTACCCAAAACGAGCAATTGATACAAAAGGGAACAAGGGATGGAGCAAACCTTCTCCGCAGGTATTCCATTAGTCCATAAAGGACAAAATGACGATGAATGCCTGCACAGAAGATAACCTGTTCAGCAATTTTCTTTTATGTATTGAATTTACTGCAGAAGTTGAAAGTTAATGTATCTCTCTTATTTCATCATTCTTGTGCAGAAGCCCCCCTCCCTGTTGACCACAAAAAAAACAAAAAAATCTTATGCAGAAACTATTAGATCCAGCTTTCATTTTACATATGAAACTTATCTGACTATGGTTCCCCATTCTAGGTCTTGTCATTCTTGAGGGGAAAAAGTTTCATATTCTACAACCAAGAACAGAACATCATATCTATAAAATGTTTTCATAAATATTTGCCTAATCATTCTCTAATATTAACCTTATGCTTCTGCCCTTTAAGGGACAAACTGACAGCTTAAGTATATGACATAATGTGATATTCTATGCATACATGTTATAATTAATGAGAGTAAAACTAACATTTTCACCCTTGGGACCAAAAGAAACTAAAGTTTGGACCTTTTGAACATTTATAAGGTGGAGATATGAATATACAAGGGACTAGATGAAACTCATAAACAACAAAGAACATTTTAATGCTTGTCACCGCTATTACAAGCTTGTTATTGTGTTATTACATTTCATATCATCATATAAAAACTTACAACCTGGTAGCATTTGGTATAAGATTTTTAGAAGGATTCCAGGGAAACTTGAGGCAGAAATCTTCCATTCCCATGTGCTCATGAGATTGCATCTGTTATTCTAAGGCAAGTTACTAAAGAAAGAATGAAATTTTCCTATAAAACACGGAAATGGAATGGATAAGCGGAAAATCCTTGTTTCCCACTTCCAGGGGAAGGTCTTAACATGAGAAAGAAGAAACTTCCACACACATATTATCGTGATATTTTACTATCCTATAAAGTTTACATAAAAATAGGATTTAAAGAAGTGTACCTCAAAATTTTCTAGTATATATAAATAAAAAACTAATAAATTTCTCTATAAATATAAACATAATGCCTTTTTTACAAGAGCAATCCACTCTGTAACTTCCCATGAAAGAATTTGCAAAGTTAAACTAAAACAGTAATAAATTCCCCTCTAAAGAACTAATTCATACTGTCACAGATAAGGGAAGAAATACAGAAATTAAAAATCGGGTTTTGAAAATCTTGCCTCGTAGTTTGGTAGGAGGATAAAATTCGAGTGCTTGCAACAGCCTGAGCTCCAATTCAACCTGGGATTGCTCCTAAAGAAGGGAAAAGGAAGACAGGTAAATCAAGACGATAACAGAGATTTAAAGATTATTAATATATACCAAAACAATTCCTGAAGGACGACCTTGGGGAGGGAGGAGGCGGAGGAAGGGGGAGCTTTGCATGGAGAATGTACAGACATGCCGTCTTGCTCCTCCTCTTTTTTTCTGCCGCCATCCTCCATTTTTGGGGGCTTAATATCAAATCCAGCACGTGGAAACTTTTTGGTTCTGATATTTTCCAGATTGAAATTTCTGGGTTTATTTGTCTTGGCTAGGTATTTGTAATTTGGGTTAATGTACAGAGTGATCCTTCACCTTTTTATTTTTACCCATTTTGGTCATTGAACATTTTTTTTAATCATGAACAGTCCTCAAACATATTTTTGTGACCCCATTTTGGTTCCCGTTCGGTTAAACGCTGATTTGTTGTGCTTCACTAGGGTTTTGTTGGCATGGGTGGACGGTGTTCCTCTAAGGTTTCGCTAATGTGTGTGGTTAGTGCCTTTCCTTCAACCTAGTGATAGGTAGAATTAAGAAGAAGTGGAGCTTTGTGAGGTTTCTTCCTATTTGGTGGCAATGTTTTATTAAGAATTTTTTCTATTAGGTGGTGAGGTGTTGTAAGGGTTTCTAATGTCCAATAGTGGTGATTAGCATTTGTCTTCTTGGTTTGTTTGGTTGTGGGTTTTTTTCGGATTGTTTAGGGTTTTTGCTTAGTGATGTGCCCCTTGGGTCCTATATTCTTCAATAATTTCTTATGGTTTATGGGCTAATGTTTGCTTGAGTTTTAGGTTTTGTAGTCCTAGTTGCATTAAGCAGCAATTGTGTTTAGGCAATCTTTGGTTTTCCAAAAACTTAGGAGTTGAATTTTTAATTTGGTAGGGGTATAGTTTAGTGGGAGTGTTGTGGAGTTGGTTTAATAGTGGTTGGTTTTAAGCTTTGAGATTTCGTAGTTTATTTGTTAGTGATCACCTATAATACAACAAATTGACATCTTGGTGTATGATGCCCAAGGATAAGGCTAGAGCTCATTAAAGGAGAAAAAAGTGGCTCTTTTCTATTTTAATTGATTAAGAGCCTATTTGATATAATGGTTTGAAGGTAACAATTAGCGATTTTGCCCCAACCGTTAAGAATATGTGTTTAATAAATTTATTTGTTTTGAAATCATTACAAACTATGTATTTGGCAAAACTTTTTATTTAGTAATTTAGGAATAACGGATAGTGATTAGGGTCCAAACTACTAGCAAATTGAAAAACCTACATAAGGTAGTTTTTCGTATCAAATCATTAGTAGATTTGAATTTTTTAATTTAATTGACAAATTTATCCTTTTTAATTTTTTTAATATTTTGCCACTGTTTTTAAATTAGTATTTATCTAATCAGTTTCAACTTTAATTTTTGTCTTTAATAATATCAAGTAATTATTATATTTTTATTTTTACATTAATTTATCATAAAAAAATATTAGCTTAATAAATAAAATTTGCTCATTAAATGAAAAGATTAAAATTTTTTTGTACTTTATTTATAACTAATATAATTTTTTCTTTATAAAAAAATAAAAATTAGTGTATGATTACACTATTATAATTTATTTATTTATTATTATTTTTTATAAAATTAATAATTTTAATAATAAGAAATATAAAAAGAAAAAATACAATTAATTGTTTTTAAACATGTCTCTATTAATCATTTAATTTTAAATAAAAACTATTGACTATTATATAACCAAACAGTTTTATTAATTAAATCCACTATCTACTATCAACTGTTTACTTTCTGCTATCCACCACATATTATTCATTAATAGTCACCTATTATTGCTATCCACTATCCGCTACTCATTAATTGCTGAATTTTAACTGTTATACCAAACTAACCCTAAGCAAAGTAAATGTGTTGCAAGTTACTAGGGTAAGAGTAGATTTATTCTCTCTGGTGCCTGAAACTAGGGAATCTTTTGGTTCTCCAATATGGATTTTTAAAAAAACCTATTTGGTCCTTAAAAGGAAATATGCATCCTTGCGCAAGAACTTGATACTAGGCCTAGAAATGGATTAACATTGTGATTCATGTTTTCCCTTTTGTTTCTTCAGATTTTAGCACCTCTAGTATGTGTCCTACATAGATAGGTCATGTCATCCTCTATCACTTATTAATTTGATGTTTTTATTAATAATTATTTTATTTAGATTTTTTTTAAAAGCTAATGGAATAAATTTTTTGTCAAAATAAAAAATTCTCTTCTTTAATTTTTAAGGCAAATGTGGAATTGTTTACATGTTGGGAAGAAATTTATCTTCACTCAAAGATGTTAGAATCTAGTAGGAGAGTTGTTAGTGAATGTATATTGATGTTGAATTGCTTACTTGTATTTTTTTTTTTTTTTTTGTACATTTAATGAAGAGCAATACAAGAGAGGATAACCCTCTCATTTTCCTAAATCTTTTTCCATCAAGCTCAAGGTTCAAACTTGAGATTTTAAACTTGAAATCTCAAGTTCTTAATCAATTGAGCTACTCTTTGGAGGTGAATTACTTACCTATATTAGTTATGTATATTTGTGCTTTAACTATGTGTTTGGATAACAGTTATTTAAAAAGTAAAAAGAAAGGATAATGTTAATTTTATTTGGATAGATAAAAATAAAAGAAGGAAAGGAATGAAAAGGAAATGATTATATTATATATTTAATTAAATAACTAAAAGAAATATAAAAATAAAATGTATTTTATTTTATAATTTTACTAATTAATTAAATAATTAAAATGACAAAATTTATCAATATTTTAATGTAAAAGTTAAAATGTATCTATCCCTCCTAATTCCCCCTAAATTTGAGGATTGGAAATTAAGGAATTTGAGAGGGCTCCTCCATTGCCCCCTTGGTCTCCCTCACCCTCTTTTATATCTGATACTCACCCAAATAAGGGAAAAGAGATACCTTTGAATAAACGATCATGTGAGAATTGTGAATATGAGTGAGAATAATTTTTTAAACTATGTAAGTTTTTGGATCCTCTAGTCAAATTTTCCTAATGATGTTTTTAGATTGATTTCTTGCTTGGTGGTTAAGCTTAATTATGAACAATTCAATTGGTTAAGCTCATCATTTTTGGGTGGAACTTTATGTAGATGAAGTAATTTGCAAATATTAGAGATTAATTGGATCAAAGGTTTGGATACCTATGTTATTAAAAATTAATTTTATAAGTAAGACATGGCAAAAGTTTACCTAACCGTCAATTCAACTCCAATGTGCTTATTTTAAAAGGGCCATGGTTAAAGTATCTTAACTTGTGATTCCCTTTGACCCATGCAACCTTCACTCACATGATTGGAGTTGCAACATACAAAATGTTGAGATGGGTGGCTTATAGATTACTTTTTGTAACCCATTAACTTGTTTGACCTTAACCCATTGGACTTATGACCTACATTGACCAAACCTAACTTGACTCAACTCATTTTCTATGTTTATTATTGAGTTACTTGTTGTGGAACATTTATTTAAAAGTGTTACCATCAGCCATGTGATTTGGTTGAAGACTTGTTGCCTTCTCTAATTCATTAAATGTTGGGTTTTACACAGCAAATGTAGCCTTTCATCTACATAAGATTTTAATCTTAACTATCATTTTTGCTTTGCCACCAAGCATCTAGAGGAAAAGAAGGCTTGGAATTTTATTTGGCTTAGCAAACACAATGGAAGCCATAATAATATGTGAGTATCCATCACCTATTGAGAACTAGTCGATTGATGTGATGGAACAATGGATGTCAATGCGTCCTTATAAGGATAGGGACCTCCTCTCCATTAGCAAGGATATGAATCCTTGCAAGAATTTTTTGTGGGGGGCAAAAAAAAAACCCTCCATCCTCATCCTCATAGGGAATAAGAGGTTCTCACAAGTATGCGAAGTCCTCGTGAAATATTAAAATTACACAATTAAACCTCTTTTTTTTGGTAAATAAATTTTATAATATTAAGATAAAGGGTAATAATTCATGGGACACAAAAATAAATTCTTGTGTAAGTGAAGCATGCAACAATTTTCATAAAAGTTGTTTATGGTTAGGTTATTGACTTATTGTGGGTTAGGGGAAGAAAAATTGGGTTGGGTTGGGTTGGGTGAAAATGATTTGTTTGGGTATTTAATAAATAGTATAATTTATAAAAATATAAATTTATCTTTTTTATTATATAGGATCTTGTGGCACCCACGAGGTAGAGGAAATTTTGCAAGGAAAAATTGCCTCCATCCTTGCAACAAGGATCCTCGTAAAGTTTTGCGGGTTTCAAAGAAAATTGCCATTCTTCAATGAGACATGGTTCTTATCAAGTCAACTGTGGAACCTCTCATGTCATTCAGGTTGGAGTTGCTTGGCAAGAGAAAAAATGAAATGCAACAAGGATCCATGCAAGGTTTTGTGGGTGTCAAAGAAAATTGTCATCCTTAAATGAGACATGGTTCTTATAGTTTCAATGGTGAAAACTCTCATGTCACTCAAGGTAAAGCTACTTGGCAAGAGAAAAAAATGATGCCATACAGAATGCATTATAAGCCATGAATTAGAGATCTTAACCTTCAACAATCATTTATCATCTTTAGAGGTGTTGTCGAGTGGAAGAGATGTTGTGCCAATTGAGTGTTCATTCAAGAATGAAAATGAAAACCCGATAGTTTATCCTTTTAAACATATAAGTAGAATAGGAAAAATTAAAAGCATTACTTACGTTCTATTTAGTGTGGTTTGTATTTTTCAATTTTAGTTTTGGTTTATATATATTTTACAATTTTAAATAAAAAAAATACATAAATAGTAAAAGACTTGTAATAACTCTTAATAAAAGACCAATTTTAATAAAGGTAGGAAAACTAATGATAACCACACTCAAATAAAATAATTACTTCAGAATCCTATAAATTCAAGTGGACAATTCAAGGTTCTAATAAAATTCAAGTGGGCTTGAGTTTAGAGGCCATTTAACTTAGGCTTTATATTGCTTTATAGGTTATTTTCTAAGGAATAAAGTATGTTTGATTTTGTTATTCTTAAACTTACTTTAAAATCCTGTAAATTCAATTGAACAATGGCTCAAGGCTCTAATAAAATTCAAGTGGGTTTGAGTTTAGAACACATTTAACTTGGGCTTGTATTGCTTTATAAGGTATTTTCTAAGGAATTTAGGTTTGATTATGTA